GGGGATGGAGAGGGGGGGGGGGGGGGGGGTAAAGAAGGGAGCAGGAGACTCCAGAAATCCAGCGGGGGGAAAGCCAGACCCGTCAAAATGTTTGCTGATGTTTCATGGGAAAGGGGCTGATTTTATAGGAGCCCTGATGGGGACATGTCATTGATAGGCTTGGAAGGCTGATGAATGGCCCCAAGTCAGATGGGGATGTGGCAGAGCTCACTGGAAGTCTTTTGTGGGGCTGTTTTGAATAAGAAAAGCTCCCTCCAAACCAGGAAAAAAAGAGGCTTAGATCTACATCCTAACACTGTGGCCTCCCCGCTCTCAGTTATGGCATTTCATACATTTTGTACACCCTGAAGCTCCAAATGAACTCACTACTCAACTTTACAGTTTTTTTTTTTTTTTTATTAAATCTGTTCTCTCCTCCATGCACACATCCCACAGCCACCTGTTGCCTCACTTGAGTCGCTCCTTCAGTAAAGCTGCTTCTCGATGTTCCTCTCCTTCCAAACATTTTGAAACTTTACAGAGGCATGTTCAAAGTTAAAGTCTTCGTCGTTCTTTTTTTTTTTTTGCTCGCTCTTTTGCCTTATTTTCTCTTTTGGTGTGCCTCTGAGAAGAGGGAACGGCCACAAAAGAAGACGGGTGGGGGGTGCGGGGGGTGTTTGGAAGTAAAAGTGCAAAGCCCGAGGCTGGGAGGGCTCTGATGGAGTGCCTGAGAGCTGGAGAAGGGAAAGCTGTGATTAGAATATGAATGGAACGGCAGGAGAGGGGGGGAGAGGAGACGGGCCAAGGAGAAAGGCGGATTATGGCTGAATTACTCACCACACCACGGTAGGCGAAGGAGGACTTTCTCTTTCTCGGCTCGCAGGCTGATACTTCATGCTGCTGCAGACACCTGATGCACGGCAGGGCGACGAGGCGCGGCTGCACCGACGGACTCTTGCTCTGCGTCGCTCTCAGGCGGGAACAGGTGCAAAGCAAACAAGATCCGATTCATTTCAATCATTAAATGATGTGCATTCTTATTTCCTCGTTACCATCTAGTGGAGCAGAACAGGTGCAGCCTCTTATTTGGACACTCTCTCTTACAAACGCATACATCCTTGCTTTTGTTGCGTGTAAAAAAAAAACAAAAAGGCCCCAGATGAGCTGCGCAAGTGTGTGTGTGTGTGTGTGTGTGTGTGTGTGTACACGCAAGTTCAGGGGGGTGTGGTTACGCTGCAAGCGATGTTGTTGGTGGCTACAGTTTAAAGAGGAAACCATACGACTCAAAGCAGCTTTCTCTCCCCGCCGACATCAACACGACTTCGGCGCTGGCGCTCAATGTCCAAGTGATGTCAGCGAGCGCCGCGGCGACCCGAATCCAGCTGTCTGCTCGTCACGTGGCCTTCAAAATGAGAGATGTCAGCCCTGGCTGAGGCGCTGTGATTGCCTCAGATTGTAAACAGATTGAAAACAAAATCGAAACAAAATGAGAGGGTTTCATGAGAAGCCAGTCGGTTTCTTTAAGGGAATATACCAACGTTTAAATTATATCAAAAATGTTATAATTTAGGAAACAAGTTAAAAGTGGAAAAAGAAAATTCATTAAAAACTATTTTTATTAAGTGTTTCCTGCATATGAATACTTTATGCCCTACTTACATAGTTATTTCTGTCATTATCAACTAGCAAGTATTGGGATTTAATGATTTATCTGGACTGTGTTCAATACCAATATTGAATAATT